ACACACACACGGACAATGCAAATGGTTGGATGGGAAACAACCTTCACAAAGGACGACCCAAACCAGTAGTTATTAGACATGAGTTCACATGAGCACTTCAGTAAAGTGGTAAAAAAAAACACTGACCCGTGCTTGCTGAAATGCATACAAAGTACTTAGGAGAAGAGGTACGTGATTAAGTGCATCAACTAACGCTCTTGTAGGAGGAAAAACACAATTAACTTAATGGATTGTTTTAAAACGTAATGAGGTTTATAAATCTCCGCCTTTTGGATAATAGTAAGGCGATAACTACCTAAGCAGGCGAAGTGCATCGGGATACTGTACAACTTGGTGGTGGGGGCCACGAGACGGGACACGACAGAGCGATAAAAGAGGTGCCTTTCTGCCGAAAAGCAGACCTACTTAGACAAATTCTTCCTTCTGTATGATTAACCACCTAGGATAAGTGCGTCTACGCTGTACGATCTTATTAACTGGTGTTGGTAGGCCTCTCAACAGTCTCGCTTCCCTTAATGATCTGACGAGGCTTAAGAAGCGCTTGAAGTTGTGACCGTTGTGAATTGAATTACCTGAGTTTGAAGACGGTTAAGGCCACGAAGCCATAGAATTTGACCTTTGACGGCGCTTTCTTCCTCCTCAGATGGGGTTCCTGAGGGTTCAGCCTCAATATCCTCTTCCTCCTCTTCTGGCTCCTCCTCCGCCGCCTTTTCTGCCATTTTGCGACGTTTGCATTCAGGAATGATAGAGTCGGGCACTGAGATCACTAGCTGTAATAATGATTAAAAGAGAATGAGGATAACCGTCTTTTCTTGCCTTTTTTGAAGGCATTTCAATAGCTACACCAAATACTACTAATAAAAAAATTAAGTAGGGTTAATCCATAAAGCAATAATAAAAGGTGTATGTAATGATCTTTAAATAAACCAAGCCTTAATTATGATTAATCTTATCCTTAAATCTACTGCTAGCGCGGAGACAGGGTGGAGAGGTGAGAGGGGTGGAAATGGAGGGGGAAGGAGGGGAGAGACTGTTACCCTTATCTCAGCCATCCAATCATGTTGACGCTTGGGTCTGAAAATATGGGGCTACGAAAAAGTGTTTACTCTTTCGACAAACAAGAAATTCACTTTACAAGACTACCACGGAGCCTACCTCCCCACCTCCATAATGGGATATCGAGAGCGGGGCAGAGGAGGAGTGAAGGGGAGGGGATCACAAACGAAATAAGACCCGAATTTGGTAAGGACAGAATTTGTTGAGATAATATCTAACCTGGCCCCAGACCAGTTCACCAATGCCGAAGAAGAGGCACCACATCCACTGATTCAAGTCGAGACCGTGAGTGGAGAAGGCATAACCCCCAAATTCAACAATAATTATCTGCAACACCATAGTGGCTATCCATATGATAAGGAAGATCCAATTGCGAAAGACGCCGCTGAAGACGTTGCGTTGACCATGAATTTTGCGAGCGTTAAGCTCATTGAAGAGAGTCATCAATACGAAGGAATTAAAGATGGCTGTAAAGTGTTGAGTTGGCTTAGAAATGCCATTGGCAACGAGTTCGCGTGCACTGTCACACTCCAATATGTGTTCGCCTAGGTATGGAAAAGGAAAAAAAGAAAATGAGGAAAATTTAAAAATAATGGGCTATGCCACTACCAAACGTGAACACTGAGGCCATAGCACCTCCTTCTGACAGCTGCTAAGACACCTGTCATAGACCTGACTAAACTTGTTTGCCTCACGATGAGGATTTGAGATAGCACAAAGAATTGGGTTCCATTGGACACCATTTTCCATTTTTGCGACCACTTCCAATATGAGGTGACGACACGTTTGTCTGTGTGGTTTCCATACCTTAAGGGCATTTCTTTATTTGACCTAAGTCAAATGAAGAGACAAAGCGGAGCTATAATGGAGGTGATAATGTTCCTCCAGGAGGACAAAACAAAGTGTCCTCAAATAGTTACTAACGCTGTGTGATGGTGCGTCTAAAGCCCATCATATGCGCAAATAACCCGCCTCTGCAACCACAGATCGACAGGCCATATATGAACCGATATAACTCTCATACCAAATGAATAAATCAACAATTATTAACGTCCTGTCAAAAATAGAAGATGTTAGTACATAGATAGCGTTAATTGGTCAAATAGATCTTTGTCCTTGTTTCACCGGCCCTCACCTTTTCACAACTGTGGAAGGGAAAAAATCCGTTAACTGCAGTTAATGCGATGAGCGGATGATGATAATGAAAGGAGGAGGAGGGGAGAGGAGGTTCTAACAATAACTGCTTAATTTTTTTAATGTCAATTTAATAATTTTTTTAAAACAAATTTAAGTATGTTTCAAATCAAGTTTGATTGATTCAAGTAACCGACGCAATGTTAATAGGCCACACACATACAGAGAAGGGGAAAGAATCACCCTCTTTCTCTTGCTTTTCCAGTTGCTCTCTCCCAAACATTTCAACAGATTGG